ATATTTCATATTGAAGTAAAACTTTACAATTTATTATCGACTATCTTTTGTTGGCCGGCTCTCCCCCAAAAAGTTTTGTTCTCAAAAACGTTATTTTGGTGTTATAGAACCAGGATTTGTGAACTTACTGCCGTACACAAAGTTCTCATATGATGAACGTTATGTAAATAAAACAAAATAAGGATAAGAGATGTTGATGTTTATACGAGATTGTGACAATGAACAAAGATGAGTCGCTGAGCTCAGGGATCACTCCGTGTTGTATTTGCAATCCACTATTAATATCCCGTCATGACAAAGTGAGTCTGATTGTACTGAGAGTTCATGGATGCATTGAATTCAATTTTTTTCSGTAATTGTGTTAAATGAATCTTAGTAATGAGTTCATGTTCAATGTTACTGACACTCTTTGTCTTTAAATATATTTCAATATTTTTAGGTCGCTACATCCCAATAATTKTTTYCCGTTATCGCTCTTTTATTTGCTCTTGAGAAAATACAAAAAATTAGAGATATTACATGAGAACGTACGGATTTTATCTTGGTCCGAGTGTTGAAAGAGCTCTTTTTATTATTTTTTTTATTATTGCGAAAGAAAAACACAAATTATACCAGACCACCGATCAATGCAGTTGATATATATTTTATATATACTTGCACATATGGCAAATACGAGAACACWTAGTTTAACGCAACGAAGGTGGCTGTTATATTTTATCCGTTGTTGTAGCTTGATGATGACAGAAAGGGCAGCTACGACACTCAAAGACTTCATATATCTTAGTCGAATATCGATGTGTGTTCTTTCACTTYGTTTTTATGTCTGGTGAGATGGGTTGACCCTTAGCCTGCGAAAAGTAGATCTGAGTTCTACCTCGTGCAACTCTTACACTCAATATCAAAAGTTCTGAGACGAACTCTGTTAAACTATGCAATTATTTCAGCTGCTTTTGTCGTAACGTCGTAAGACAATAAAGCTGGCTGCTGAGAAAATTGCACAGAGTAATAGCAGGACCTTGGGGAAAAAAGACCTTATCTTGTCGCATCCGCATCGCTACACAAATGACGAAGATGTAGAATTTGACAGAGGGAATGCTATTATGAAGAGCATCTTTAGGGGAATCAATAGGCTTACCCACAATGCACAGTGGCGTTAAGGTGGTTATCATTAATACCAACTAAGATGTCAAATAAAGTAACTTGAGGTATCTAAGGATTAAACGAATTGACGTGAGAAATAAAAACATTTAAATCAGTCATGAGAGCAATCATCATGAATTTAGAGGACAAAAAACTCAGTTTTTAATTAGTACGGTCGCTGGTATATTGATGAAAGATAATGTTTCCAAATAGAAATTAGCCTAAGCAAGCCTTATTTTGGTTTCCATAGCAACATCTTTAATTTGATCGGCATAACAAAAACAGTTAAAAATGAGAATAAGTTTAGGAAAATTTAACAAATCGAATGGGCATGAAGCCCTGGTCATTAGGAATGATATTAAACAAATAACGCCAAAGTTATTAATAAAAGTCAGAGCTTATCAGAGTCAACATGAAAGTGAAAATCATTAAAAATAGAAAGACAATGATTAGTGCCTTTAATTAATATAAGAAGGTAAACACTGTACAATAGGAACAGTCAGAGAGTCTTGTATCATGAGATAAGCTCAGTTGGATAACTGTTGAAAACACCATCACAGAGTATCCTAGAAAAACACAGCAACAATAAAACAATTTTTATCATCACAGATTATTTCATAAAATATAGTATAATGTATACACCTACTTGAAGAAACGCTGTCATAGAAAATAGAACATTTGAATTTTAGTAAMAAGAAATGAATTAAAACAAGACAAAAGAAGAGCGTTCAGCCTAAATTTATCCCTGTTTTTTATTAAATACAAATGTCCTTTTCTATGATATTTTTTCGCAAGTAGGTGTATATACATACATACACAGTTTTCAAACACAAACAAAAACATTCACKG